TTTTGCTGGGCATTGTTTAGGACTATTACCAGACCCCAGTTAGAAAGCACATGGGCTCCTAAAGCTAGCTGTCAGTTAGTGAAGCTGGCAAAGCAAGTCAGCCAGCTACCAGAGTCAGCACTGGTTCATGACTCAAGTAACCCAATTAGGGCAAATTGCTGTCTCCTCCTCTTCCTTAATCTTAGGACCCTTAGTTTTATTCAGGACAATAAATTGTACTCAGCTAAAAGACTATGTTTATATTTCCCACCACAACCAAAGTTGTATGTGGCCATATGACTAACTCCTAGCCAATGAAATTAAGTGGAAGTGTTTTGTGTAAACTCTTGGAAAGCATCTTAAAAGACAGCTGATGTATACACTTAGCTCATTCTTTCCTTTCTCCCATTCTGTTGCCTGGAATATGGATATGATGGTTGGAGCTCTACCAGCCATTTTGTGCTATGAGGACGGGGTCATACTCTAAGGAACGCAGTGGTAACTAGAAAGAGCCTGGATCCCAAAGGCCTTTGTGGAGTTGGCATACCAGCCCAAAGAATCCTACCTCTGGACTTCTGTTGTGTGTAAGAGAGATCAACTGCTTCTATATTACTTAAATCATGATTTTAAAGTTTTTGTTTAATGCAGTCAGAACTAACCCTAAATGGTACACCAATATTTGTATAATGTACCCATATTGTGAGATTGAATGACCAAGATTAAGTACTCTCACAAAGTCTTATTTTATCTAAGTTTCTTAAAATTATCATTTTGAAACAATAAACAATTTATAGTAAGATTGACACTATATAGTCTTAGCTGACCAATTTTGATTTAATCTAAGGGGTATTTTAATACACCTTGGCAGATCTCATCAAATGAAGAGAATGGAATTCAGGTGTTCTATGGCCTTTTTTCATTTAAAACTGGTTTAAGACATCTGCAGTCATTGGTGTACACAGGACTAGAGAGAGACTAGAGAGATCTTCAGGCTCCTATAGCAGCGTATCAATAATTCTCAGTTTATGTCACCAAAAGATCCCAGAAGTCCCTCTATCTCTTGAGCCTCCTGATCTCCCAGATGCAATTGTGTGCACTGACTGGCTCTACAGTAGCCATCCCTGGGGTTAAAACAAGAGAGAGAGTTCTCTGCAGCTTGTGGTAATCATTATTGCTGCTCACCAAATGCTTCTCAGACTCTGCCTTCCAGCCACATAATAGAATTGTACTTCCTGGATCTCTGTGGTTGAGTAGGGCCATGTTCTGGCCAGTGAATTGTATTACCTCCAAGTCTGGCATGTATTGCTCACGTGAGACCCTTCAGAGTTGTATTTTTCATTTGCCATAGTATCAGGCAGTGGCTGCCCATCACCTGTGTCCAGGAGGGAGGTGATGCCACCACTGAGTGGTGTCTCCAAGTGTCTCTTATTGGACATGTAGTTTGAACAAGAAATATACCGTTTTTTGCTTCAATCCATTGAGATTTGGAGATTGTTACTGCAGCATAATCTATATTATCCTGACTGATGCATTACACCATCCAGAAAAAACCTTCCGAGGATGGCAGTAATCACAAAGGAACTGAATGTTATAATCTATGGTTCCAGCAATCAGAGAAGACATGAGGGTAAAAGTTCCCTCTGATTTGACTCATACATTTAACCCTTTTAACACCTGCAAATTCTGTTAAAAAAACTTTTTTGTTGAGAAGCTGCCTATAACATATCTATGTACAAAAATCTGTCAGTAAGCAAAGCAATCCTCCAGTTTCTCAGTGACTTCAGACCCTAACAAACTTACTGCCGATCCCGCATTTACATTCCATACACAACTGGCTCCACCGTGTGGTGTTCAGAATAAATAACATTTATTATAGGACTATAAAAGCTAGGTCACGTAGTGAGTAATACCATATACGCCTTGAGGGGGGACTGTACATGATAAAATAAATTACACCCAGCTTGCTAGGGCATTAAATCAAAAGCAAGAAGGAAAATATTTCTGTCACGTGAGCCAGGAAACGCAACAGTAGTGAGGCTCGCTCATTTATTTGTTTATTCAACTAATATTTACTGAGCTCTACTATGCACCATATATTATTCTGGGCCCTGGGGATATAGCAGTGGACAGGATAGACAAAGTTCCTGCCTTAGTTGGAAAGACAGACAATGGAACAAATCAACAAAGCAATATTTACTACAATGTTGGATGTGACAAGTGCTATAAACCAAATTAAATCCGGGTTAGGGCATAGAGAGAGATGGGGAGGAGTTCTTTTAAATAAGGTTGACAGAAATAAAGGCAAACAATCCATATTTAGCTCTCCCAAAGTTCATTTAGATAAATGACCTAAAATATCAAATACATATAAATATGAACATTCTCTTGCAGACATAAAAGGTTAAAATGCTTCAAGATGCCCAAATCTTGGTTTCTAAACATGATCCTGCCTCAGGCTCTTCAGGCTGGTATAACAAAAATACCATAGCCTGGGTGGCTTATACAACAAACATTTATTTCTCACAGCTCTGGAGACTGCAAAGTCTAAGATCAAGGTGCCAGCAGATTCAGTGGCTGCTGAGAGCCGCTTTCTGTTTCCTAGGGGGCCACCTTCTCACTATATCCTCACATGCAGAAGGAGGGAGCTCTCTGGGCTCTCTTTTATGAGGGCACTAATCCCACTCATGAGAGCTCCACCTTCATGACTTAATTCCTTCCAAAGGCCTCACCTGCTAATAACATCCAACTGAGGATTTCAATATATGAGTTTGGGAGGGACACAAATATTCAGTCTATAGAAATTTCCCTGAAAAGAAATGATGACTCCTTGGAGAAAGCACTGATTTTTCAAATCTGAGGCAGGAAGTGGACAAGAAGATCCTGGGACTTGTTGTTGTGCCAGAAAACACAGAAGCATTCAGACAGGGTCGTGACAGTCTTTAACTTGAAATAGCAGATTATAGGGGATCCCACTGGCAAACTGGGGGCTATTTAAGCACCAAGAAGAATAACTACTGTAATTGATATTACATTGAATGATTAAAATTCATGAGTTTGTGGTGAGTTTTTTAAAGGGAAGGGGGCTCTGTTTTATAGAATGCCAGCAAAAGGTATTATAGAATTAGACAATCATTTTGCTAATTATAATGGAATACTGATTCATGTAAGGATTATCTTGTATATTAATTTCCTGTTGCTGACGTAACAAATTACTACAAACTCAGTGGCTTAAAACAATACAGATTTATCATTTTATAGTTCTGGAAGTCAGAAGTCTAAAATGAGTCAGCATAGCTGTTTCCCTTTGCAGACACTAGGGGAAAATCTGTTTCCACCTTTTCTAGTTTCTAGATGCTGTCTACACTCCTTGACTCTCACATCACTGCAACCTCTGCTCCATTATAACATCTCCTTCTCTCTGACTCTGACCCTTCTGCTTCCCTTTTATAAGGATCACTGGGATAACACTGGGTTCACCCAGATAATCCAGGATACTCTCCCCATCATGAGATCCTTAATCATATCTACAAAGTGCCATTTCACCATGTAAGATAAAACATTCAGAGTCCAGAGCTAAGATTGTAGACATCTCTGGGAGCCATTATTCAGCCTACCACAAATTGTATGTATGTGTGTGTATATATGTACATATATGTATATACATTTTTATGTATATATAATGTGTGTTATATATTATGAAGTACACAAATCACTTACAAGATATTCTTGAATCTAATTAAGCCTTTAGCCCTAACTTCCAGGTTATAGAAACGACATCATAATAAAATAATCAAACACATTCAGGATATGGGACATGCGGTATGTCTACTATCTCCTCAAAATTGAAATGTCGTACAAAGGATGGAGGATATCCTAAAAATTTTAAAAAGACTTAAGAGATAATAACAAAATACAATGTGTGTACCTTGCTTGAATCTCAGTTCAAAAAGATATTTTTAAGACAACTGGTAGAATTTTAAATTTGGTTTTAAATATTAGATGATATGGAATTATTGCTAATGTTCTTATGTTTACATAAGATAGTGTCTTTATTTTGGGGGAATGCATGTTGAAATATTTAGGAGTAAAGTATATGACACCTGAAACTTACTTTCAAATGGTTTAGATAAAAACCGTGTGTGTGTGTGTGTGTGTGTGTGTGTGTGTGTAAAGAGAGAAAAGGAAAAAGAAATAGATAGCAAAATGTTAATGTTTGATGAATCTAAGGGAAGAGTATATAGTTGTTTATCATAAACTCCTAGAGAAAGCATAGGAGGTAATCTCCTTGACACTGGTCTTGGCAAAGATTTTTTTGGATTTGACACCAAAGCAAAGGCAACAAAAGCAAAAATTAAGTAAGTGGGACTACACAAACTAAAAAGCTTCTGCACAGTAAAGGAAACCATCAACAAAATGAAAATGTAACCTGTGGAATGGGAGAAAATATTTGCAAACCACATATCTGATAGGAGTTAATATTCAAAACATACAAGGAGCTCATACAACGCAACAGCAAAACCAAACCAAAACAAACAAACCCAAATAACCCAATTAAAAAATGGGCAAAGGATCTGAATAGACATTTTTCCAGAAAAGATACACAAATGGCCTACAGGTACTAGAAAAAGTGTCCAACATCACTAATCATCAGGTAAACGCACGTAAAAATAAAAACCTAATACCTGTAAGGATGTTTATTATCAAAAACTCAAAAGATTAACAAACACTGGTAAGGATGTGGAGAAAAGGGAACACTTGTGCACTGTTGGTGGGACTATAAATTGGTACAGCCACCATGGAATACAGTATAGAGGTTCCCCAAGAAATTAAAAATAGAACTAACATATGATGGAACAATCCACTCTGCATATATATAACCAAAGAAAATGAAATCATTATCTCGAAATGATATCTGAACTCCCATGTTCATTGCAGCATTATTCACAATAGTCAAGGTATGGAAACAAACTAAATATTGACAGATGAATGAATAAAGATATGGAATATTTGTGTGTGTTTGTGCGTGTGTGCGTGTGTGGTAAATTATATAACGGAATATTATTCAGCCTTAAAAAAGAAGGAAATCCTGTCATGTGCTACAACCTGAATGAACCTGGGGGACGTTATGCTAAGTGAAATAAGCCAAAAAAGACAAATATTGCATGGTATCACTGATATGTGGAACCTTAACCCCTCGCTGCAAAAATAAAAAAGACAAAAAAAAACATTGAACTCACTGGGAGCAATTGGATTGTAAGATCTGTAAAGATAAAAGCTAGTGAGGTCAAGACAAATACCTTAGGACCCCTACCATACAACCTTAAATGGTCAAAATCTTTGGTGAAACGACCCATCACAGTAGGGATAAAACAGCTATATTCAATAACACGGATAGGAAAATTTTTCTGGGGTAGAAGATATGCCAATTTACTTCATCTGTATCTAACATAATTTGGGGGGAAAATTTAAAGATCGGTTAGAGACCAAAAGTGACCCAGTGCATCCAGCCTTTCAACCATCTCTAAGAAGGAGCCAGACGCACCAGTAAAGCCATGTTGGATCAGCTTGGACTTCACATAAATATCCCCAAGTGACCTCAGTCAACACCACATAGGGCAGACAAACTTTCAAGTCAAATGCTGCCCAAATTTATGAGTAAAATAAGTGATTGTTATTTTTAAGCTACTAAGTTTTGGGTTTGTTAAATGGTAATAAATAACTTTCAACATTACCGCAGTCAGCTTTGATAGTGTCCTTGCTTCCCAGCCTAAGAATATGTCTCAGGCTACTCTTGCTTGTTTTCTGCATAGACCTGGAATTGCTCCCAATGCCCGTCTCCTTTTACTGAGAAACCATATACAAAGAGCATTATTTGGGTATCAGGTACTTTTTTTTAAGAAACAAAACATTACAGTCACATTCCACTCCCGTCCTCCCGAGGTAGTTGCCACTATAATGAGTTTAGTGCCATATTAATCTCTTGCATTTTAAAAAAGTTTTACAATTTAGGTATATTTTCACAAACAATAAATCACAGTGTATTTCATTGATTCTAAATCACACATTCACCATCCATTTTAAAATCACTGGAGATGCATCTTACAACAGATGGCAAGTGATAGTTTAACTGGTTGCATTGTTTTTCATTTTAGCAATATGTGCCTTACTGATCTATTATCTGTTTCATCTAAGATTAGATGAAACATAGCTCTTTTATACTTCATAAAAAATTTAATCATTTGAGCTTATTTTCCTACAAATTACTTTCCTTGCTAAATATTTTAGCAAACTTTGTTTAGGTATAATTTGCATTAAAAATATATAATAATGTAGGGGCAGGACAGGAATAAAGACGCAGACGTAGAGAATGGACTTGAGGACACGAGGAGGGGGAAGGGTAAGCTGGGACGAAGTGAGAGAGTGGAATGGACATATATACACTACCAAATGTAAAATAGCTAGCTAGCGGGAAGCAGCTGCATAGCACAGGGAGATCAACTCGGTGCTTTGTGACCACCTAGAGGGGTGGGATAGGGAGGGTAGGAGGGAGGGAGACACAAGAGGGAGGAGATACGGGGATATGTGTATATGTATAGCTGATTCACTTTGTTAAAAAAAACAGTATATATATATATGATAATTTACATATAACAAAATGTACCCATTTTAAGTCCACAGTTTGATGAGTCATGACAGCTGTACAAAGCTGTTTAACTTTTCATTATTAAGCTATGAGCATTATTTATATATTCTGGATACAGGTCCTTTGTCAGATATATGGATTACAAATAGTTTCTCCCAATCTGTGACTTGGCTTTTCATTTTCTCGCTGCTGTCTTTCAAAGAGCAGAAGTATTAATTTTAATAAATTCCAATTTAGAAATTTTTCTTTCACGATTCACACTTTTTGTCTCCTAAGAAATCTTTCTCTATCCCAAGACAGCAATTTCTATGTTTCCTTCTAGAATTTCTAGAGTATTAGATTTTGTTAAGTTTATGATCCATTTTGCAATCTAAATTTTGCACTAAAATTGTGTATGGTGTGAGGTGAGAGATGAGGTTATTTCCTATTTGAATATATAGTTACCCATTTGTTAAAAAGACTTATTTTTTCTCATTGAATAACTATGGCACCTTTGTCAAAAATCAGTTGTCCAACATGCATGGGTCCTTTTACTCTATTCTGTCCACTAGCCCCTAACATTTCCTATAAAACAGGTCTTCTGTCAACAAATTCTCTCATCTTTTCCTTGTCTGAAAAAGTCTTTTCTCACCTTTTCTGAAGGATATTTTTGCTGAATATAGAATTCTAGGTCAACGCGTTTATTTCCTATGGTACTTTAAAGATGTCATGCCAAGGCCTCTAACCTGCATAGTTTGAGAAAAGAAATAAAGTCATTCTCTGTATGGAATGTGTCTTTTTTTTTTTCTCTAGCTGCTTTTCTAATTTTCTCAAGTTTTCAACAATTTGATTATGATGTACCTTAGTGAGGTTTTCTTTTATTTTTTTTGCGGTACGCGGGCCCCTCACTGTCGTGGCCTCTCCCGTTGTGGAGCACAGGCTCCGGATGCGCAGGCTCAGCAGCCATGGCTAACGGGCCCAGCCGCTCCGCGTCATGTGGGATCTTCCCGGACCGGGGCACGAACCCGTATCGCCTGCATCGGTAGGCGGACTCTCAACCACTGCGCCACCAGGGAAGCCCGTGAGGTTCTTTATGTGCTTCCCTGCTTGTTGAATTTCTCGGATCTGTGGGTTTATAGTTTTCATCAATTAGGAAAACTTTCAGACATTATTTCTTACATTGTTTTTGTCTCCCCTATCCCAACTTCTAGGAGTCCAAATACAAGTATGTTAGAAGACTTCATATTACTTCATAGGGGAGTAAGTTACTGTTCTATTTCTTTTTTCTCTTTGTGCTTTAGTAAGCCTCACTGATTTTTAGTACTGTAGTGACCCATCTGCTATAATTCCATCTGTTCTTTCTCATCCAGCTAGTGACCAAAGAGGTAATCAAATAGCAGCAGTCATTTTGAAAAAGAAATCTTACACATACTTGAATTATTGGTATAAGTGTATTAACCACAAATAAAATATTTAAGGACTATTAATTTAAAAATGTGTAATTTTTTCAATATCTTCTTTATTGTCTATAAAATGAGTTTGTGTATATATACATATACATATAACATTAGAAATGATACTGAATATGATGCCAATGATGGGCTGCTGTAATTTTTTTACTTTGACTTCCTTCTACAGAAAGTGATGACAATCTGTGGAAAATGCTTTATTGTATCATGCCAATTTACTACAAGGAGTATTTCAAAATAATACAAAAGTAATCCACAGACTTGATTAAGTGAAGATCAAATGATCTGAAAATTTTTTCTTCCTTAGTTCTTCTCAGTAATTGCTAAAAGTCCAATAAGCTGATTTTTCCAAGATTGATTATTCTAATAACTTTGGGTGTTCAATCCGTGCAATGGTCCAGTCAGGCTTTACTCCTTGTGTAAACTCCCTCTGAAATCTAGGGAAAAAATTATAAATAATGTGAATCTTATATCAGTCCAAATACTTCCTGGATAACTACATAATTTGCAAGTATATATTAGAGGCAGTTGTTAGCAAAAAGCTAACAGTTAATGGTAAATAAAAATCAAAAGTTTAATCTACCAATTTGATCACAAAATATATCCCCACAAAATCAGAAGTGCATTCTCAACTAAAATGAGTATTTTTAATGGACTGATCTACATACACTCCAACATCTGCCAGTCCTTGAGAGGAACTTCAATGTTATTCTATTGTTAAGTACTAGCCATAATATACGCCTAATACGAGGAGAAATAAATTGGAATATGGTGATAAAAACAGCACTTTCATGGAAGCTGGTTTATGTGATTAGACTTACTCATAGCTTGCACTAAGACCAATGTTGAAAATAGCAGTGTTTATGAGCTGCCCGTGATCTCAGTAGGGAATATCAGAAGAACCAAAGGTTAGTGTTGATTATAGTGTTCTAAATGACATCTTAAAAAAGAGACAATTCAGCAGATTTAAATTAAGTATTTAAATATACAGAATATTTTGGGTAATTACAAATAAAGCAAAATTCAAAACAGAAAAAGAAAAGAAAAAAAGTACATCTCCTTCAAGAAAAGTGAAGAAAAAGAAGATATAATTCCCTTTACCTTAGCAAACCAGCATATTTTCTTTCCTAGGTCGTTTTTGGGATTTGTTCATTATTTTAAAGCAAATTTGTATAACTCTGGTGACATAACAGTATTCTCTTTTAAATAGATATTAAACTATGACATAACAGTATTCTCTTTTAAATAGATATTAAACTATGTCTCCACTGACTCGCTTGACTTTTTCACTGTTCCAAATTTTATTAGTACAATAATACACTAGGGTGTCTCTTTTAAATAGTTTGTTAACCTCCTGTTAGACAATACCTCCTTAAGGGCAGGAACCCTCCAATTCTGTATCTGAACCCCTACCAGAGTACTTGGTAAATAGGAGATGGTCAATAAATGTCTAGTGAGTGGATGGTCCATGTGCCAATTATGGCAGATCTTATTTTCCCAAGATGGTCATAACTACATCTTGCATCCCACATGCTCTTCTGCAACGTGACCTTGCTGCTGCCCCATGAAGAGGTGGAGTCTCTCCATGCCCTTTCACCGTGCAGATCCTGTGATTGCTTGGACCAGCAAACCATGGTGGAAATGATGTTGTTCCAATACTGGGCACAGCCCTTTACTGGTCTAGCATCTTCTGGCTTCTGCCTCTTGGAAGCCAACCACCATGTAAACATGTGACTAGCTTAACACTACCACAAGCCCAAGCCGCAAAGAGAGGCCTTGGAGAATGAGACGTCATGTGGAGAAGCCAAGGAGCACCATGGTGCTGCCCACGAGTGAAGAAGCCATTGTGGAAATGAACCCCTAGCTCCGGCCACCCCACTTGATGCCAGAGGGAGCAGAGAAAACTCCACAGCAGAGCCTTTCCAAAATTCCTGAGCAGTAGAATAGCAGGCAAAATGAATGGCTGTTTGATGCCACCGAGTTCTGGAGTGGTTTGTAACGTAGCAATAGACAGCTGAAATACAGTTTAATTAAATCCAGCAATATTACCTCTTCCTAATTTCTGAACACTCCTGTTTCATGGCCAGTGTGTCTTTCTGACTTTCTCTCTTCATAAATAACTTGTCAAATTTCAATCTTTTTCTCCCTAAAGCTCCCTTTAGTTTTCATACTTTCATACTACCTTCTATTTTCTAGAGAAAGGAAACAACGAAATGTGATTAGACTTACTCATAGCTCGCACTAAGAAGTTGTTTAGTTTCCACGTTCTGATCCCCCAACTTAACCTGGAACACACTGGCTCCACTTATAGTTTCACTGGGGATGTTGGCACTGGTTAGATACCAAAAGCACATCAGGATGTTAACAAACTTCCTTCCTTAGAGAAAAAACATACACACATACAAATACAAATCACAATAATCTATCATCCTTATATCCTTAATGAAATCAGCAACTGGCAGTAATTATACAGCTGTTACAGACCAAATTTGGGGCTCATTCTAGTCTAACTTAAGATACCTGTATTGACACGTTTTTATTTTTAGAAAATTCTCCTGGGGTTTATGACACCTTCCTCTCTGGATCACAGTAGTAAGAGCTACTATTTACTGAGCAGGTACTTTTTACCAAGTGCACTACATGGATTACTTTCAATTTGTGGCATTTTCTAAAATTATGATAACAGATATCTATTGTCAAACCAAAAATGAGGGGGGGGAAACACTTTTTTGCTGCTATGTCATTAACTTAACCTCAACTGCCAGAAAGAAGCCTTCTATTCTACCCCTAATTCACTTTACTATGCCCAGTGATTATGACAACGTCCTGTGCAAAAATCAGGTAGTAACCATGGTGCTAAGATGCAATTTGAAATATTAGGAAGAAGAAAATATTTATCATTAAAAGTACCTTTACAAATGTTTCAAATTAATATGTGTGTGAAAATTTTTTCACTATTAACAGTCCTCAGTCAGAACTGCCTTAGCAACTGTGTAAGCAAAGACTAGATTTCCTGTGTGCCTAGCACATAATACACTGCAAATATTTGTAGAAGGAGTAAGTCAGTAAGTTTTCAGGGAAAATAGGACAAGGAGAACAACAAGATAAATGCTAAAGTTCCTTTCAACTATTTTCATCGTCTCCAAATAAATCCAATTTGGGAGTTCTGAGTTAATGTTACTTTCAAAACAGTCTTTAGCTAATATTATTTACTTTTTCTTTTACTCTTTACTCCTACTTAACATACAGCTAGACACTTAAAATATTCAATTGTTTTCCTTTCAGTTAGGAAATCTGAAACACAAATATTTTCATTTTAAGATATGGGAGCAGCTTGTCTTAGACAATTTTCATTAACTTAAGTTACAATGCTCTCTTCTGTGAATTAAATAACATTAGGGAAAAGTTCTAGAGAGAAAGGCATAAGAAACTATTACCATGTCCCAAGTCTTCCAGAGCTAGGGCTTTAAAGAATGAATATATTATTTTCTCTGCAGTTCTATAAATATCCACTTGTACCAACAAAATGTCACTATTCCATGATTATTCACTAGTTCAGCTTATCTGGACAATTGTGGGTCATTTAAAGTTGACTATGCTCCAGCATTACCTTTCTCATCGTAGTAAATGGAGATGTCTCCTGTTGATGTATATACAATTTCATCTATGTCAGCAGCAAGGGCATTTTTATGGTTGTCAGGTAGTGAAGTAACCTTTTCTTTCAATACACGTAGTGTCTAAGTATGGAAAAAGCAAACCATAGTTCACTTGTTGAATTTTCAAAAGCTTTTCAAAAAGTGGAGTGAATTCTTCATGGAATGAATTTTGTAAAAATATTTTTAAATTTACTGCCATATTTATTCATTTTCAAAAGCAAGGCTGAGGGGCTTCCCTGGTGGCGCAGTGCCTAATAATCTGCCTGCCAGTGCAGGGGACACGGGTTCGAGCCCTGGTCTGGGAAGATCCCACATGCCACGGAGCAACTAAGCCCATGCGCCACAACTATTGAGCCTGTGCTCTAGAGCCAGAGAGCCACAATTACTGAGCCCGCGTGCCACAACTACCGAAGCCCGTGCGCCTAGAGCCCACGCTCCACAACAAGAGAAGCCACCGCAATGAGAAGCCCACACACCACAACGAAGAGAAGCCTCTGCTTGCCGCAACTAGAGCCCGTGCGCAGCAACAAAGACCCAATGCAGCCAAAAATAAATAAATTAAATAAATTAATTAAAAAGAAAAAGCAAGGCTGAAAGGGATCTGATTACTCAATTAGATAATTCCCAATAGAACTGTTCTTATATAGAATTCAGTTCTTATACAGAATTCTATATAAGAACTGAAAGACATCATATTAACTTGCTTATGCCTTAAGTAGCAAATCATTCTATACTTTTATATGACCCCAAGTACCCAAAAGGCAAGATACAGGGACTCTACTTTGGCTGATGGCATGCATACTATTTTATTTTATTTTTGTATTTAAGGGTGATTTATTTTACTTAAGGGTGGCAGTGGGAATAGTCATAGATTTCTAATACAAACCAAATACAAAAATCAAACAACCATAAGAATAATGAAAATCTAAATATTAAAAGCTAATCTTTTAGGAGAAAAATGAGACTTTTTTTTTGTCAACGGTAATGGATATGTAAGGATATTGACAACAACGTTGGAATAGCAGAGGAATTGAAAATGCTATACATCGATCAATGGGAAACTAGCTAAATTAATTATATTGCATATACACAATAAAATACCATGAAGAAAGCAAACACATATATAGTCTTTGGTTGAACCATATACCATTCTAAGTGCTCTACATTACATATACTATCTCACATGATTTCCCAACAATACTACTACTATCCCACTTTACATATGAGACAAGAAGTTAAGTAAGCATGCATACTATTTTAAAGCATAAATAAGGACAACGTATATCATTTTACTGCAAGAGAATAATACACTTACTTTTAAAGGAAAAATAAAAGTATACTTTACCTCTTTGGCCACAAGTTCTTCCAATAGATCAAACTTACTCTGTGACAGCAACTTGGACACATGAGCAAAAGCCTTAAAAAAACAGTGGGGGGAAGGTGGTGATTATTATTTCAAGATATCATGTGAAATACCATACAATGTACAATATTCATACTTGAATGTCTAAGTGTAACAAAGACTATTTTATGATAAAGGCAATAGACAATGTCAAACACTAGATATTGGTGTTAGGCATAACTCCTCCAAAGTTGGTTGACTTTTCTTTTCTCATATAGCCTTCCCACATGGGCTGAATTGTGTTCCCCCAAATTCATATGTTGAAGCCCTAACTCCCAGTACCTCAGAAGGTAACTATATTTGGAGACAGGACCTTTAAAGAGGTGATGAAGTCAAATGAGGGTGGGCCCTAATCCAATCTGACTGGTGTCCTTACAAGAGGAAATCTGGATACACACAGAGATACTAGGGCACACATGCACATAGGGGGAAAAAAAACATGTGAGGACACAGCAAGAAGGCAATCATCTACAAGGAAAGGAAACAGGCCTCAGAAGAAACCAACCAACAAGGTGCCAACGCCCTGTACTTGGACTTCTAACCTCCAGAATGTGAGAAAATAAAGTTCTGTGGTGTAAGCAACCCAGATTGAGGTATTTTGTTGTGGCAGCCCTAGCAATAACGGAGTTGAATTTTGAGGAAAAGCACATTTCCAAATGGATTCAAGGATCCCTTGCAAACACTTTAGAGGATCTCAGGGTTCAGAAACACTGTATGTTTTAGTAAGCCTTTGTGTGCAGAAGATGGGGGAAATTTGGTAAGAAGAAACAAAGACCATAACCATCATGTTGAAACCCAAACATGAGACTCTAGTTTGTGTGGCCAAAGAAGATCACACCTGAGCAAATTATCCTATAAGGTAATAATGAACCATTAGGAGGCTGCCCTGATAAGGCTTTGGTGATATAAAATTGCCTAACCTAAACAGGCTTCTAGGAAATAGCCCTCTTTTTCATAGAAAAGGCCAAAATATGTTAGCAAGATACAGGAAAACAGACAGTACATGGTTAGTGGTTTGAGGGCAGTAATAGGGAAGGTATCATGTCATATGTGCATATCAATGGAAAGTAGGGTTTGTGGAGGTAATAAAGCTGTTTAAGGACCACCTATTCCTCTGGCTCACATGATGAATAAAAGCTTGCCTAGATTGGTATAAAATAAGCTACAGGATATATCGTATAACGCAGGGAATATAGTCAATATTTTATAATAACTATAAATGGAGTGTAACCTTTAAAAATTGTGAATCACTACATTGTATACCTGTATTTTATATATATATGTATACAATATATATAATATTATACATCAACATACTTGAAAAAAAATTTTTTTTAATAATTTTTTTTAAAAAAAAGCTTGTCTAGATTGTACTTAACCATCTCAACTTCTAGTGACTCTGAAGGACCAAGACTGCTTATAGAGTTGGTTACAAGACAATGCACCTCAGCACTCGCTAGCTATGCACCCTTGAGCCAATTGTTTCACCTTTTTAGAACTTGATTTTTATCATCTGAAAGAATTAGACTAATGAGCACGAAGGTCCCTTTCTGTTTTATGTTCTATGATTAAAAACAAAAAATCTTAAAGAACATGATCTAATTGATAACTTGATATTCACATCCCAAGATAACATCTTATTGATAGGAGGTTAGTCTAAGGAGAAAGGGCAAATTGAGTCCATGAGAGTAGATAATCTACCCAGTGTTTTTGCATCAGATTATTTCCAAGCCCTAGAGTTACATCTATGCAAAGGAAGGTATAGTTGCCTTATGAGATCTAGTAGGAGGAAGGTTTTTCAGCTATGTCCTTTGAAGTCGTACGTGTTGAAAAACTGGTTTGCTTGATCTGTAAAGTATGTTAAAGTAACCGCTGGTTTAATGGAATCACTAAATATTTGCCATGGATGACCCAACATTCTTTTTGGAAATCAGAATGGTTAAATGCACAAAAATTGACTTAGATGAGGCAAGACTGTATACAAACTGGCTGATGAAGGGGTGCAGATACTACTTAATAGCAAGGATAAGGGCTAAAATAGCTCACAGCTGGAGAACCTTTAGGATCAAAGAGTGACTAAAATGTGTCCCAAGCTCCTCTGTGTTCAGAGAAAATAGGGACTTAGGCTTGAATCCTGCCCATAGTGGGGAGATGACTTCCATTCCTTATTGACACATAAATAAGCATGAGGTAGACAAGCTCAAGTCATCAGCAGAGTGGTGGAGAACAGTAGCATCATGCCCATTTACCTCTGCATGGACAAAAGATTTTGAGAACTGACATGAGCAGAGGTTTATCCCTTACAATGCTGTTAATCAAGCTTGCTCTTTACTTTTTAATTTTTTTATAAAAACATAAATCAGTCAGGAGTTGACTCGGGGAAGCAAAAGCAGGAGTTAATATTGACATTGATTATAAAGTTGAAAACATTTAATTTATAACTGACAGGTCACATAAATAAATATCAATGGCTGTGTTTATAGAAATAATCTTTAGAAAAGCTAGGATTAAATATATCAATACCAGCATACGATCAATTTTGTCTTTTTCAGAAAAAATAAAGCCATGTAGCTTTTATGTGGCAGAAACAGGCTTTGAATCCATTTCTGACTCAAAACCTGTACAGAGTAGAAAAAGTAATTAAGGGACTTCACCTTGGTGTCTCCATCGAAACCCTATTTCTCGGCGACCTTGCAACAGAAGCAGAAGCTTAATTTAAATCAAGAAGTGGCCAGAGGGCTCTGTGTCTGGGTCACTACCCACATGTTATCATTTGAGACCCAGTGGAAACCTCACCGCTAAACACTTCTGCGTGTCTAATAGTTGAATGCATGAGAGGTGGAGAGATTATTTGTAGAGAAATAAACAAACCTGCTTCGCTCCCTCTGAGAATTCTGCAATGCTGAACTCTTGGTCGAAATAGGCCCAAATAAGGAAGGAGTAAATTCGAGTCCGAATCCAGTTGATGGGGTTGGAGAACCCCAGGATGATCATCTTGGTTTTCTGGCGCTGCTGGGGCTGCTCCTCGGTGCTGTAGGTTCGCCGAGGGCAGGAAGGGAAAGCGGGAAGGGTTGTGGGGAGTCCCAGAGGGCTGAGCAGGGGACGCTGAGGAGCTCGAGCTGGCAGCGCCAAGGCCACGGAGGCCCAAGAGACTCGAGGAAATGGGGCCGCTCCCGAGCCGAGGCGGCGGCGGCAGAAGCAGCAAAGTCCAGCCAACGGCGGCCACACGTCGGCCGAACCGGGAGTCCAGAGTCGGGCAGCCGAGCCCGGCAGAGGCCGAGAAAGCAGCAAGCGGGGTAAGAGACTGACGGCCAGCGCCATTTTTGTGACCTTTCACCCCTTGCCTGTGCAGTACGGAAACAAAGTCGGCGGGAAACCACCTCGGCGGGACTCGGAGAAAGAGGCTGGAGAGTCAGGCTGGCCAGTTACTGCACCTCTGGTGAGTTCGCCACTTCCCTGCTCTCCATCACATGCCCGTCGGCCCCCAGCCCCGCGCTCGGAACTCGCCGCTCTCGCGACTCAGCCGGCCTCGTGGACCTTTTCTCTCCCGGACCTGTTTCCGGGCGGTCCGCGCGGTTGGAACGTGTTAGGGCCGAGGTTCCCAGGACTTGGAAGAGGACGGGCGTGAGCAACCATGGCCGGGCAGTGCTTCCCGGTACCCCGGCTCGAGGGCGTTTCGCAGGAGCAGTTCATGGAGCACCTGTATCCGCAGGTGAGGCCCTCTTGCGGGGCAGAACCGCGGGAAGCCGGTGGATACCCGTCCCTAGCGCTCCAGCGGCTCCGAATTGGTTTCTTGCGATCCAGGGTGTGGGAGGAGGTGGCTGTCGGCCTAAGGTGGCAGGTTGGCCCGGCGGCCAAGGGAGAGGGCACATGGGGGATGTTGACTGGCTCATCTGTTAAGTTTTCCGTTCCACGTTTCTGGGGAGCAGGTTGACGGCAGAGCGCTGGCTACGAGAAATATTTTGCCCAAGAAGCCCTACTAGTTGCTTAGCGGCGTTGCGGGAGTCTGATTACAAAGTCTTCAACCGTTACCATGGCAACCCAGGGAGTTCCCCACCACTACCACCACCACCACCACCACCACCACCACCACCACCACCACCACCACCAATCTTCCATCGGGTTTCCTAAAATCTAGAGGCGGTTTCGCCCCCAACCCCAGCCAGTGGCTTGAACGGCGCCTGTCAGTCTACGCGAGTTACTGGATCTGAAGAAGTTTTTCACTGCACTGAGCCAAAAGGGGAAGCAATGGGAATCCCCCGACAAACTTCCAGTGGTCTTGGATTCTAACTAACGTGGGTTCTAGTTCAGACGTTCGATTCTCTTGTACGTATAATTCGAACCTTAGTTCTCAGAGAAAAATACTAATGGGGGAAAAAAAGTGTTTTTACTTGCCGTGCTTTGCAAGGGAATCCAGGCTTCAGAAAAACTAAGAATAAAGAGGCCAGCAGATATTTTCAGAAAAAAAAAAAAAATTCACAGGTTTACAGTTAGACTGCTCATGATAAAGAAACCCGCCCCCCCAGCAATTTCAGTTGATATTTACACCTATAAGGGTGGTCATTGAGCTACAGCCCTTACAAAAGTCAGCGATGAACTTTTTTTCTTTTAGGAGTTAGCAACCTATAGGGAGGATTCAAGCCTTAATTTATTTGGGAGACTAGTGCTAGATAGGTTGCTGTCCTCCCTACCTCACTGCAGGGCACGTTAGTATAAGATGCCTTCAGGACAGTATTATGAAGACCAAATGATGTATGTATGTGGAAATGCTTTGGAAGATGAATAGCAAAAAGTGTTTTGTAATTTAGGCTTCCCAGACACGACATACAATATGTCACAAAGCATCACTAAGCTTCGTAAAGTGGAAAATTACAAACAACACTCTGGTCACAATGTAATAAAACTAGAAATTAATAACTAAATTGCAAAACAAGACATTTTTACCTGAAAACACTGAAGAAAAGCTGTGAGGGATTATAGTCCTATCGGATTTTTTAACATGTTTTAATATTTAATAGTGTGGTATGGGTGCATGAATAGACAGACTAGAGGAATAAAATAGAAAGTCTGGATGAAGATAGATGTGTGTACACACACACAAGTATTTATCCAGGCTCTGGAGATATTTATATATATATGGAAATTTAGCATGTGATGAACGCGACATTTTAAAAATCACTGGGGCAAAGATGAACTTTTCAATAAACGGTGCTTGGACAAGTGGATGGTCACAGTCATTTAGAAAATAATAAAATTAGATTTATATCTGACACCGTACAGAAGAGTGATCTCCAAATGGATCAGAGATCTAAATAAAAAAAAGAAACTACGTTAAGTACTAGAGGAAAACATGGGTAAATTTCTCTGCAATCTAGGTCTATGGAAGGGCTTTCTAACTGACTCAGGTGTGATAAATGATTAAAATTGTACATAAAATACAAACTGGGAGAAAAATATTTGCAACATATTTCATTAAAGGGCAGTAACAGCCCATGTATGTAAAGAACTTTTAAAAATTAATGGGGGGGAGGGCAAAAATCTGATTAAAAAATGAACAGTTGACAAAAAGATAAAAACGGCATCTAAACACATGAAAAGATGTTCAGTTTTACTCATAAGAGAAATTAAACTGAGATACCATTTATCTATAATATTGGCAAAAATCAAAAGGCTTTAATAATAATATTCTTTGTGGGTCTGTGAAGAAACTGGTACTCTCACATTTTATGCCAAGTAGTACAACCCTCATGGAGGGGAATTTGGCATATCTAACAAAACTATTGATGTGTTTACTTTATGATATAGCAATTCCTCTTTCGGAATTTACTCTGGGGATATATTTCCAACAGTATGAAAATTTCTAGTGTTTATTATGCTTGCGAATTATTACAAATAACCTAAAAACCTATGCATAGGAGACTGATTAAATTGTCCATTTACACTAAGGCGTACTAAGCTGTAAAAAAGAATGAGGGAAATAATAAGATACTTTTTGTATAAAAAAGAAGGGGAAATAAGAAAGTATATATATTTTTGGTCACTATGCAAAAAAGAAATACAGGGACGATAAACCAGACATTAATGAGACTGGTTATATATAGGGGATGAGTGATTATGAGGTGGGTGATTATAGATGCGGTGACCTTTTTTGTACAATTTTGACTTTGGAGATCACGTTACTGTTTTATATTCTGCAGTAATAATAATAGTAAAATTAACAAGGATAAGGAATGGTTCAAAAAAACCAACCAAACTCTAATATAGAATATAAAAGTAACAAGTGAACCTAAGTAAGGGAGAGGAGAAGTAACCTAAGTCACTTTTGAACACAGTTCTTTGATTATATATCAGTCTAAAAACAAAAAGAACCGTAAACAATACTGAATTCTAGTTTGTAGACTTTTTTTACAGTGGTATAACTTAGCAATTGCAAAAGCACTTATTGTGAATTCTGGGATTGTACAATTGATTAAACATTGAGGATGATAGGAACCCGGTTTCCCACTAAGAGAAGGGAGTTTACAAATATATAAACAATGAATATTAGAATAAATCTTGTGGTATAAGATCACAATTAGGTATCCATATTGGGAGTATCATGGTTCATCATACATCCATTAATTGTGTGTGTGTGTATAGTACATATTGAGAGAGAAAGAGAAATAGATAAATAGATATAACTATATGCATATGCAGAATATGTGTGTGTATATATGTATATATATTTGGGGAGGAGTGAGTATATACACACCTTCATGTGTTTCCTAGCTCTGTCCACTGAGAAGGCCTAGAAGTAATGACACACCAATAGTCATAAACACATTCAGCACCCAGATCATGGTTTCTAAACAGCATTCCCCACTAGAAGAAACCAGAGCTGCTTGAAGAAATGACTAGACGGCTGGGACAGAGATGTAAAAGGATACTGGATTGTGTTATTTTTCCATAAAGTAAGAAGTGCTTGGGTAAAATGTCACAAGAGGCAGCTCGAAGGGACTCCTGCTGGCCAAATCTGGGATAACTTGAGCATCAAAATTATATCAGTAGAATATAACTCAGTGAATAAAATAAGTGAATGGAGAAGTTAGAGCTGATTTTTACATTAGAATACCAACTAGTACATGTAGAAGGTGATGGAGTTTTATTTTTTTTAATCATGATTTTTACACTCATCGTAGCAATACTTGATTGAGGCAGGAATTACCAGCTGATCAAAATTAACATCATAAATAATAGGGAAAATATCATGTGCTACCTGATGTGTTGCACTGAGAAAGACACAACATTGCTTTTGTGGTACATTCTTTCCAAAAATGAGTAACCTGAATCTAATCATGAAGAAACATCGGATAAACCCAAGTTGAAGGGCATTCTACAAAATAACTAGCCTGTACTCTTCAAAAATGTCAATGTCATAGAAGGGAGTCTGCGGAACTGTTCCAGAGTAAAAGAGATATAGTAATTAAATACAATGTGGCATCTCAGATATAGGGAAAAAATATAGAGGATATTATAAGGACAGTTAGCAAAATTTGGATACAGTTTGGATTAAAGTATTATATCAGTGTTAAATATAATTTTGATAATTATTCTGTTGTTATATAAAAGAATGTCTTTGTTCTCAGAAAATATACTCAAGTTTTAGAGATAAAGGAGCATGATGTAGCAACTTACACTGAACTAGTTTAGAAAAAATTAAATTATCTTTAATATGTTTCTCTCTGTACACATATAACGAGTGAGAGCAGATGGTAAAGTAAGTGGAGCAAAATGTTAAATTAACAACTAGTGACTCAGAGTAAATGATATATGGGAGTTCTTTGTAATGTTCTTACAACTTTTCGTTTAGAATGGTGTCAAAATAAAAAGTTGCAAACAGTATTTGAGTATAAAGCACAAATTTTAATCAGTTGTATGTTTTGTCATAAATAACACTCTAGAGAATGCTTTAAATAATACTCAGACTTCTCTTGTTTCTAAGCTTATGGTGGCACTTCTGTTTTGTTTGGTTTTGATTTCCTAATGTTAAAATTTTGTTCTAACTATATTACATGGGTCCTCTTCCTGTTTTAGTTACAGCATGAATTGTCAGAAGGTTTGATTTTTAGCATCTTGGGATAAAGAATCATTTCTTATTTGTTTTTATCCCTTTATTACCAAATACAGCTCCTGATACATTGTTGGTTTTCCCTAATTTTTGGTTGATTTTTTCCACACAGAGAAAACCTCTAGTGTTGGAAGGAATTGATTTGGGGACGTGTACAAGCAAATGGACAGTGGATTACCTAAGCCAAATTGGAGGGAGGAAAGAGGTGAAGATTCATGTTGCTGCAGTTGCCCAGATGGACTTCGTTAGTAAGAATTTTGTGTATAGGTATTTTCTTCTGAGGTTTACTCTGGGGATACACATAACTTTTTTTAAACCTTTAAAATATTTTTGCATTATTATACAAAGATTATATGGCATTTTCTCTTTTGGCTAGTTTGATATAATTATGGAATAGCTTACTAATTTTTAAAGAATGGCTTTTAAAAGACAAGAATTCTGAGCTTACATAATTATACAAAGACATTTCCAAAGACCATTTTAAAAATATAGTGTGTACCCAATACCTTCTGGAGTCATGGAAAGAGCAGAATTTCTGTAACTAAAGTTAGATTCATCTAAAGCTCGGTGTACTGTATTCATTCAATGTTTCATTAATTACTTGATCCTCCCACATTAGTAATTGTTATCTAGAGTAATAAATTCTAAAGTTTTCCTTTATAACCTATTTTGATTTTTAAGTGCCCTATTTTGGGAAGATTTTTTTAATTCCAGATTGTTTTTAGATAAGTATAAGCTCATGTTTTCTTTTTCTGCCCTCTCCAGAAATATAAGACAAGTGGTTACTATGTTTGGTAAATCTTTTATCAACTTGGATAAATCAGGCTTAATTTTCTTTTTTGTCCAAATAATCTTAAATACTTTAAATGTCCCTCATGGTTGTCGTTTTATGCTTTGGAATGTCTTAAAAGTAAAAGATAGTTAAATGCTGCGGAATATCTCAACTTGAAAGCTTTAAATGCTACAACCTTATAGATTTAATATGCTATTTATTCCCATGAGTTTATTCCCTTGAGTTTCACTAAAAATGTTAAATTTAAAAACAAACAACTTTCAAATTCTGAGCACATGCAGTTCCCAGCAAATTCAGTCTATTGAAAAACCATGTTGTTCACAAAAGACTGATTTTTAAAGAAAGGTGGCTTTCACTGTTCCTTCCAGAGTTTAAAGATGAGTTAAACAGAGCTTCTAATGTCCAGGGCCGTTCTTTTCTCAGTAGAGTTTCCCAAGTCCATATAGCAGCTTGCCAAAGCATTTCTCGGTTTTTGATCCTTTGAATATTTGCCATTACAGTTTTGGCTTTTAATAGGCCATGGATTGAATTTAATTACCATAAATTTTTCCAAGTGTAAGAACTTTTCATTTTTTATTAAATCAAGAAAGTGGAAGAAAGTGCTGGAATGATGAGCATTTTTCAGCCTGCAGTTAATGATGTTTATTTTCCAGGGAGCCCAGTGCTGTAACAAATGGGTATTGAAACTTCATCTTGAGTTGCCTTGATGTTATGTCATGTCCTATAAACTTTTCAAAACATGTTTTTGAAGCACATATATTATGTAATAGTTCCTATTCCAGCTTCCTCTAAGCCTTTCACTACAGCTACTAAGGAGTTGCAAGATTAGTTTCTTAGAGTAAGAAGGAAAATAGATTTAGTCATTTTTGGCAGTTATCAGGGAGTAGGAAAGAAGGGAGGCATCTAGACCAAAGACAGAGACTAGAAAGTAAGAAAACCTACGCACATATATAATTATTATCAGTTCAGATTAAGGTTGCATTTCTGCTTTTTAAACATTTGAAGATAAATATGTTTCCAAGTCTTAGCTTTTACTTCTCTCCTCTTGGTAGCTCTAACTGTTCTTCCAGAGTCAGTATACTATAAAAAAGAAGAGCCTTGTGTAGTGAAAGGATACAGTTGTTATTCTTCTGGCCGTAGATTTTTTTTTAAGTCTGAATCTTATATAAGCTTTGCTTCACTGCTTCTGCCTATCACATCATCTGACTCCTGTCATCATCCTGCTCTCATTGTTTGTTATACTTTCATCATTCCTGATCTTGATTTTCCGAAGCAGCCTTTCCAAAATGGGGAGCAGAACAGTGAAGATTTTTTTTCTTCTTTTTCTAAATGTTGGTAACTATTGCATGCTGCTGCATTATCATTGTTGTTAACGCCACCATCTGTCCTTTATTGAGCACTTACTATATATGAGGTACTGTGCATCCTAGATTATATTACTCATTTAGACTTCTGTGAGGTAGATTTTTTAAATAATAATTATACAGATGAGGAAATGGAAGTTTAAAAACGTTAAATAACTTACTCAAGATTGTATAGCTCTAAATGTTGGAACTAAGACTTATACCCAAATTTGCCTGACTCCACCAAGTCCTAATAATCCTAAGCCCTCCTTGATACTACCTCCCTTACTGGTCTGTATGTCAGTCCAGACAAGTGGAACTTCTATAGCAGATGCCCTTCTTATTGAAACATGCATAGGATAGATAAGACCTTAAGGCCAAGGAACTTAACAATTCATATACCTCATTTCCTCTTCTCTCAACTTAGTTTCTGTAGAAGCTCTGACAGGTACTATGACCTAAAGGAGAAGGTTGCTGGGGGCACCCGAGTTCTGCTTCTCTGGACTCAGCTACTCTATCTGGCCTCTTCTTGTAAAGGTCTTGGGTTCTCTCCAGTAAAAAAGCTAAGCCTTAGCAACTGCACCAATTTCAGAGGTAGTTTTGGCCCAGAGAGGCTTCCACATTGTTCCCAAACTCTTCAAAGAAGCTTTGGTAGGAATGAAGAGTATATAGTGAGGTCGGAGATGGAAAACATTGAACAAATAAATTTGTTGATATTATTAGCCAAAACTGTAGTAGTAGATGACAGACTCCTTTCTTCTCTCTTGGAGTGCTCACTCTACATAATTATCAGCAGTGTGTCCTCAAATTCTGATTGACACCTGCTAGTCCATAATCTGGCATCAGACTCACTTACCTTTGCAAAGGGATACAAGGCAGGAAACAGTATTCCAGCAGGTTGGAATCAGTGGGAGTCCTTATACCAATCCAGAAGCCATTTTTTGGCTCACCAAGTGACAGCTTACTTGTAAGGGAACAAGACTGACTATAGAGGTGGATGCAGAAACACCCTAGCTTAGCTAAGCCACTTAGTGCGCAGAAACCAGCAGCATGAAATGGCTCATGACCCTGACTTCTCAGTTCCTCCAAGGAACTTGCTCAGTTACTGAGTTATGCTGCACACGGAGAAGCCAAGTCCTCTGCTTCCTAACAGGTGGCTATAGTCCACTCACTATCCTTCTAGTCTAGACACAATAAATAAGGGGTCTTTTTATTTATTTATTTATTTTTGGCTGCACTGCACAGCATGCCAGATCTTAGTTCCCCGATCAGGGATTGAACCTGTGTCCCCTGCAGGGGAAGTGTGGAGTCCTAACCACTGGGGTGCCGGGGGATTCCCAAAGGGTCATTTTTTACAATAAACAATGTTACCTGTTCTCACAGCTGACATTCCACATTTATCTTAACCCAGTATGTTTCTAGGAAAACATTGCAAGGTCATCTTCTTACAAGGAAATCTTACCTCCCCAGTACAGATATCAAGTGGAAAGATATTTGGTAATAAGAGTGAAAGAGTACAGGTATCATCTGCAGATAGGGGGTCGTACATTTGATTCTAGAAGGTTGAATGGATAGGATGTGATGCAGAGAAAAGACAGCCCTTCAGGCTCAAGAGCGTGAGGTAAAGGAAACAAACTTTGCTTCTGCAGTGTTCAGCCCTGTTCACCAGGATGGAAGGAGACAGGCATTTGGGCAGAAATATTTAAGAAGAATAAAATTTGGTCACTTCACTGGAATTCCTGAGCTATTCCTCAGAAGCCTGAAATGATAGAGGGTGGTACAGGAGGATGAGAGCAGTTTTGTGTGCTACTGCCAGAAGGCAGGCAGGTTGGTGAGAAGCAGAGGGGCTTTGTCTTCATTGGACTGTTTGCTTGTTGTCTCTTCCAAAGTAGCATTGGTGTTGATAGCTTGCCCCATTCATCACAAGACTTGTTTTGTGAGGACACTTGAAAATTAGTAGCAATAAAAGCTTGAAAGTTGGTTTATTTCCAAAGATACCATAGATACCTTAGAACCAGAAACATTTTTCTTAACAGCAACTTAGGAGTATATTGATATGAGAAGGATCCATCTGTACTGTAGATCTATTTGAAATCAAAATTTCAGCCAACCTAGGTCAAATAAGCTCAATGCTAAATGAATTTTGAAAATTTAGACTTCCACATAATAGGTTATAATAAAAATTATGGATATTGTAAAACAGAAGATATATCAAACTCCAACAAGCAGTGTGTATATATATATATGTGTATATATATATATATATATATATATAGTGACTAGAGTATTACTAGATGATTTATTGTTACTAAGTCCAAGGATTCTTTTGTGTTTATTTCAGAACTTTACCTTTTGGCAAGTTGGTTCAGAGGGCAGCTGAAGAAAAGCATAAGGAATTCTTTATTTCAGAGGTAACTGCTTTTAACACATTTTCTTAAGAAAGCATTAATATGTAAATACTAAATTATTTTCTTATAAAAGAATAATAGATATGTAAGAACTATAGTCTTCCATATATCCTAGCTGTGTTATTTATTAGGTCTCAAACCTTGTCCAAATTATCTTTCTATGCCTCAGTGTTCTTATCTATGAAATAGGAATAATAACGGTATCTATTTCATAAGGTTTTTGTGACAGTTAACTAAATAAAATCTATAGAGTACTTAGCACAGTGCCTGACACGTAGGAACCACTCACTAAATGTTAGCTATTAATATTACTTCCTCTGAAAATGCTTTGGTCTGATATGCCAGGTTCAAATGCTAACAGAGAACTTTATTTTCATATCTTACTATTAGACTATTTCTATATTTTATTATTGTTATTATCAATGTGACTTCTATTGTGTGTATTTACTATAATATTTGTTCAGGATTAAATGCAGAAGAATTCTACTTATTTACATTAAATCCAGCTTTAAATAATTTAAATGTCTTGAGATAAGGCATTGAGGCTTTTATAAATACAATTTTTAAAAAAAATTTACTCTGTTATCTCAAAAGCACATTTGAAAAATAAACTACTTTTTAAGTTTTGAAGAAAGCTATTGTCTGCATCTGAGCCAGCTGGGCTGCTGGTCAGTTTGGTGGTAAAAATGTTTTGTTTTCACAGTTCTCTCATCGGGTGATGTTTACACTAGATCCACCAGTATCCCTACAAACTCCAGAAATCTGTATTCTATAGTATGACTAGAATATCTACTAAAACTGAATCCATTAGCTGTACCTGAAAAATGTTTTTTAACTTTACAGCCATGCTTTAACATACATGTTCAGTTGCCCTTTGGTATCAGTCCTTTCCTGTCCAAGGGTAATGAGTGGCACAGATGTAAATAGCCATGAAATGTCAAGTGAAGTAAAAGAAACAGAGACAAGATAAAGGGCAAGACAAGATAAATTAAAGTCTAAAAATTAGGGTGAGTGTGTAAGTAAGATGAATATGGACTATTAGTTCAGTTCTCTAGGAAGCATACGCTGAGATGGAATTAGGACTACAGAAGGTTTATTGGGAAGTAATACCTGTGAAAGGAAAGGAGCGGATTGGGTAGAGGGTGCCATCAGATGGTGATACAGAGCTGACAGTCTCTGCCAGATCAGTGTGGAACTCCTGAGCGAAGACGACCTCTTAGAGGAGTCCTGTCTTGGGTAGCAATGTCTAGGCCTTTTACCATCTTGCTTAGTCATTGGCTGGGGCTACCCCACGAAGAGCATGACCTTTAGTTCAAAGGGCGAGGTGGACCTGCAGGAGTTAACAGCTGGCAGCTGTAACTTAATCACACTCCTTGCAATAAGTTATGAATCCTTTCTTGAAGGGCAGTCTGCGGTGCATCTCTGTACCGGCCACATGAATTTACCTTTTAAATCCTGAAACATTAGAACTGGAAGAGACTCTTAGAATTTTAAAGAACATACTTTGAAATCTATTTAGCCAGTAATAAATTTATGGAACTTATCTGATATGGTACTAGTTAAAATTTTAAAAACAGTAAATCTAGGAGTTCAGTAAAATTTATGAACAGAGATGTATAATATATTGTTAGGGTAAATAAAATATATTTTGAAGTTTGTGTTATAATAGTCAATGTAAGTATGAAAGAGGCAGAATTCTTGAGTTGGGTTGCCCCTGTGTTTGACCTGATATATCTCAGTTCTCTAATTATTACAGGAAATGCAGGCAATACAGTGCATCATAATTCAAATAGTTCCCTATTAGAGCTACTCAGTGAAGTTATAATTGACAATTTTTTAAAGCATCAACTTAAACTTATTACTATGAAATGACATATTTCTAATTCGTACATGAGCTGACTCTTAAGGATTTGGCTTGAGAATTATGTGATTAGGGATAAACTTAGCTTTATAAAATGCAATGTTTCAGATTTTAAAAAAATTATTTTTAAAAGTATTTTATTTATCTTCTATTCTGCATTTATATTAGTTTGTCGTTGGCCCTTAGCAATGCTCTGAGATCATATGTGCTATACAAATGGGAGTTCTTTTAAGTCTTAAGACACTGTTAAGATTGTAAATAATTTGGAGTATAAAGTCTAAATTAAGCATTGTGGCTTTAGATGTGGTATGTATGTGTCGCCTTTAGGATTTATTTTACTTAATGTTTTGGGATCCTGTCGTTATTACTAGCGGCATATAGAGACATTTCTTCATACAGCCACCAGAGAGCATTAGTACAAAGGGTAAGAAAATGGAACTTTTTCAAAAATGACTTAAGAGGGTTAGCTTTTCAGATTCATTTCCTTCCATCTTTACTTTCTAATATTTTCAAGTGAATACTGATGTTGTTTTTCTTTGGAATGTTTAAGGATGAGAAGTACTACCTACGATCACTTGGAGAAGACCCTAGAAAGGTAAGCATTCTGAATGTAACAAGTTGTCTAATCTCTCCACAATTAAGAAATCTGTTCTACTGTATATTTTACAGATGGCCATTCAGCTAATAAAGTATAATCTAAAATAATTATAAAAATTCTGGATAATTCATATATATGTATTCAGAATCAAATTGATATGGGCACAGTGTTAAGGATTGGTCCCTAAAATGATCAAGTCAGATTCTATCTTTTCTCTTTATGGCACTATTATTTCTTTACCTTCTTTTATTCTTCTCCCTTAGTAGTACCCACAGGTTTTATGTAATTGATAACTTATATTCAAGTTGATGACTCCTAAACTTAAATATTAGAGTAGATGGCAATTGTATGATTCTTGCTTAAAGTAGGAAGAACTTTTCTATTAGTGAAGCATATTAAGCTTAACAATAGTGATATTGTTGAATGTCTTGGTACATAGTCTGTCATTCCTTCAGTTGAAAGATCATGCGTTGGCTATGGTCACATCCTAGTATTTTAAAGCAGTGAGCAGAGTTTTGCCCCATTCCTCCTTATTATCATGGGCTCTGATGGAAGCCTTAGATAAAATAAGCATTATGCCAATATTGTGTTTATTATTAAAATTCTCATTATGTTTCTCTCAATGCAGGATGTTGCAGATATCAGAAAGCAGTTTCCTTTATTGGAAGGAGATATTAAGTTTCCAAAATTCTTCAAAGAAGAGCAGTTCTTTTCCAGTGTTTTTCGAATTAGCTCACCAGGGTTACAACTTTGGACCCACTATGATGTATGCTACATAAATGAGAAATCTAAAACTATAGTAGCTCTTTAGAATTTATGGACTTAACATGCACAGTTTCAACTTTCTGGAGGTTACCCCAAAGATCTTTGACATGTAATTTGCTGAAACATGAAGTTTGAAAACAGGTGCTCTGCAAGGCAGTGGTATGGGAGTGAATTATTTTAGTTAATGCTAAAGCCTAGTTAGTTTCTTATATTTGCATTTCTCTGTGGTCTTATTCTTGGTTCCTCATTATATATATACTAAGTTTTTTGAAGTGTTTTTTTTAACATGTGAAAAGTGGACACCAGATGAGGGGGAAAGCTGCGAAAGAGGGAAAAATGTTAAGGTTGTAGTATGAGGATGTTGAAGTGATACATGACTAGATGGAACCATTGTTGAGGAGAAAGGCAGAAGTTTGTGGAGAGCCATTTCCAATTATAAGAATTTGGGGACACCTGAAGGTCTTAGGCTGTATATCCCTTGAGAATGTCAAGTGTCTGCTGTATTTATTGAGCAGCAAGATGTGTAGAGTATTGATCTTGATCATTTATTCTATGGTGTTACAATTTTATTTGCTTAAACATATGCATATAAGTATCTAAAAATATTAAAAATCTAGTATTGTGTTTGGTTTGGTGTTGGGTGGAGAAATTTAGAAAGCTTAAAGCAATACCTAATAGGTTTCTAAAGATAAAAGAATATTTTGAAAAGTTCTGAGTTAAATTTAATAAAGTTTTAGAAGTGTGTTTTACAATTTAGCTGAGGCCCTCGGGAGGATTTTAACGTAGTAACTCTATAATTAAATGAGATAGATATAAAGTCTTAGCATATTTTTTAAGGTTTTATTTACATGAATGATAAGGTGAGAAAATGATGTAACTCAAAGTTTTTAACTGTATTCAATGACTATTTTATGTAGTATCCATTTTATCTTAAATATTATAAAGTTTTTCTTAAACATAAAAATAAGTCAAAGGGATGCTAGTTATATAGTTAAAGTTTACATAAGTCAAATATTAGTGGTAAAAGGAGAAATGCTTAGGTAGAAGTGATATGTACTCAATAAATAATCATGAATATATCTTGCTTAGTATATATTTTAATTCCTTAGCTGAGAATTATGTAGCTCTGCCTTTTAACATTTTTCAAAATTTGTACTAATGTAGTGTACCCTTACAAACACAGGAAAAGTCAGGATTGCTCCATTATTAATAGGTTCATCAAGAAAATTTGCCAAGTTATAGTCCTATAGAAATAATTTGGAAATCAAGATACATACCTATAACCAAATTATGGTTGGCCATATAGTAAAAGACTTTAGCAGTAGTTGCAGCAGTACTGTGTATTTTCCCAACACCTGGTTTTCCTAAGTGCTTTCAACCTGTTGTCTAATTTTGGCCTTACAGCATTCCTTGACAGATAAGTAAAATAGATACTTAGCAAGGGGAGCCTCAAATAGGTGTAACTATACTTGCTGTCAGAATGGTGGGGCAAAGGCAAATAGTTTTCTGACTTCAGATTTCCTAATAGCTTGCCAATCCTTCCCATTTTAAGACAGTGTTGGAGAAATAATGACACAGTTGTGTAACACAACTGTTTTCCTTGTTAGATTAGAATATTACTATAAGTTTTAGGTAATGTGAGTCAAGCTTTATTAAAGGATAGGATTTACGGTTAACTGTTTGGAATACCATTGGTTCTGTGTATTTGAATTTTAGATACTGCTTATTCATAAGTTCTTATTTGTCTTCAGGTAATGGATAACTTATTAATACAAGTGACAGGAAAAAAGCGTGTTGTACTATTCAGTCCTCGAGATGCCCAATATTTATATTTATCAGGTACTGTTTTTTTTTTAAGTTTAAATTTCTGAAGTTTTATTTATTCAGTTAGTTTTTTTTTTTAATCTCTTCATTCTCATAGAAAAACTTTATAGGGCTTCTTCCTAATTATGATGTATTGTATTCTCCATTGTGTATGTGATGATAGGCAATATGAAGAATGAGATTTTCAGATTATCTTAATTATATTACATGGAAGTCAATGGTTATAAATAAAGGATGTGTTATTGAAAATTGTCTTAGGTTTCAGGAGAATAGTAATCATTCTCACATTGTGAGTACACAGAAGTAGTTGTACAGGAAAAAAAATTTTTTTCAAATTTACATTTGTGGTTACTTTTTAAAAAAATGCTAACTGCTCAATCTATATTTATCCTTTTTTGGAACTTTTCAGGTACTAAATCAGAAGTACTGAATGTAGATAACCCAGACTTAGCTAAATATCCACTGTTTTCCAAGGCTAGACGGTATGAATGTTCCCTTAAAGCTGGAGATGTATTATTCATTCCTGGTAAGATTTCCAGACTTCAGTAATTTGCTGTTTATAATATTTGTACTCTGTCTTCCATCCATCATTATATGATTATTTTAGTAAAAAAATTTGTTAGATGTATCCTGTCATATACAAGATGATTTTTATACACAGATGTGTGTGTGTTTAAAGTATGCTTAGACAAATTCTTACAATATTAACAATCTTGTTTTCAAAGGCAACCTATAAATATAATATTATATATATATAATATTATTATACTCTAATTTCTTTATTCTTTTATTAAAGGATCTCAAACAAGATACTTTATATCTAGGAGAAGATTATACCTCATTGTACTTTTAAAATCATTTTGTTTCTAAAATATTAACATGTTTTAGAACTGTCACTTAAGTATTTACCAAGAAATAGTAAATATATTTCAAAGCCAAGAGAGATTAGAGATTTTATTAAATATAAAAATGTTAGTCTTAATACCTATGATATCTTTTGTGTGCATTATTTTTCTACAGTCTGAATTAGTGTCACTTAATGTTTTTGAACAGTAAATAGGCATTAGTTACTGTTAGTAACCAGTGATATAATTAACATCTGTAATTATTATGCAAAACTGAATACCTGAAGATTATAAAGATAAAATCATAATTAAGATTAAAGGGATGCATTAACAAATTCTATTTATATAGTTTTATTTTCCATATCTAAGTTAATAAGTTTAATATGTTTAATAACTTTTCAGTGATAATAAAATTAAGTTAAAAAGTATTAATAATAATATGATATTCTCATTTGGGACTAGATTATAAATTCTTTGAGGACAAGAAACCATGTTTTGTTAATCTTTGTATTGTCCTGATAAAATGTCCTTCACATAATTGTGTATAAAAATTTGATACCTTGGGGCTTCCCTGGTGGCGCAGTGGTTGAGAGTCCACCTGCCGATGCAGGGGACGCGGGTTCGTGCCCTGGTCCGGGAAGATCCCACATGCCACGGAGCGGCTGGGCCCGTGAGCCATGGCCGCTGAGCCTGCTCGTCCGGAGCCTGGGCTCCGCGACAGGAGAGGCCACAACAGTGAGGGGCCCCCGAACCCCAAAAAAAAAAAAAAAAAAAAAAAATTTTGATACTTGACTTCGAAAACAACCAGCACATTTTTTTTTTTAACATCTTTATTGGAGTATAATTGCTTTACAGTGGTGCGTTAGTTTCTACTGTATAACAAAGTGAATCAACTATACATATACATATATCCCCATTTCTCCTCCCCCTTGCGTCTCCCTCCCACCCTCCCTATCCCACCCCTCTAGGTGGACACAAAGCACCGAGCTGATCTCCCTGTGCTATGTGGCTGCTTCCCACTAGCTATCTATTTTACACTTGGTAGTGTATATATGTCCATGCCACTCTCACTTCGTCCCAGCTTACCCTTCCCCCTCCCCCTCCCCGTGTCCTCAAGTCCATTCTCTACATCTGTGTCTTTATTCATGTCCTGTTCATCAGAACTTTTTTTTTTTAGATTCCATATATATGTGTTAGCATAATTTGTTTTTCTCTTTCTGACTTACTTCACTCTGTATGACAGACTCTAGGTCCATCCACCTCACTACAAATAACTCAATTTCTTTTCTTTTTATGGCTGAATAATATTCCATTGTATATATGTGCCACATCTTCTTTATCCATTCATCTGTCAATGGACACTTAGGTTGCTTCCATGTCCTGGCTATTGTAAATAGTGCTGCAGTGAACATTGTGGTACATGACTCTTTGAATTATGGTTTTCTCAGGGTATATGCCCAGTAGTGGGATTGCTACAACCAGCACATATTTTTTAAATCCATTGCCATTACTTAAATTTGGGGGTTTTGTGTATTGAGAGCATGGTTAAGGGTGATGCAGTTCTCCCTTATTCTGTATACAACTTTAAAGGAAGAAAAAAAACAAAACAAAACAGAAATACTGAACATTTGCATATATTTTGAAGTAAGAGCAAAAGTCCCATCTTCGGATGTAAATTTAACAGAATGGTTACTTTTTTTTCCTGTTACATTGAATATGGAAAAAAAGGTTCTGAAAGAAAGAGTAATTAAGATTAAAACCATGTTTGGAACCTAGTTTTGTAAATCAAAATATTTTAAGCTTTTGTTTCTCCTAGAGCACTCAGAATGAGTTTGTTTCTAAAATTTAGCTTCTTATAAATCTTCCTTTCTCCTTTCCACAGGATTAAACTTTCTTTGGATGTGACTAGTATTTCATCTTTATTATATTGTAGTGTTGCTTTAGTATTTCTGTAGCACCTGTGTTTTGAAAATATTTAGACTCAATTGAAAACAAAGAAGTAAGCTTTCTAGTAGAAGTAAAATATTAATTAGCTATATGATAAAAGTTTACTCATCCTCTCCACAACCAAAATATTTGCTTTAGTTTTATATACTTATTATAAAGGAGTTGAAAGAAATATAAGACGATTATAATTGCATTAGAAATGTAAAACTGAGGAGGCTACAGTGAATGCAGGTTCAAGCAAGTTAGAAAACCAAATGCAGCTTGTACAGGAAGTCTTTGAGAACAAAAGTACTGTACTGAGTCAGAAAAGGTCAAAGATACTCCTCAAATAATTGAAATGTTCTGGGTATAAAAAATGAACACTTTTGATGTGGTTGTGTGACTCAGGAAGTGTAAACAAGTAACACAAAACACAGCCCCAAATTACAGAACTACAAAACAAATATAACTTTATTATGTCTTTCAAGTTAAAAGGAAAAATTGCTACTTCCAAAGGTTTTAAACGTTGGGTTGTGCTATTGACACTTTAAATTGGTTGGCAATTCATAAAAGTTAAAATGATTCTGTTAAAAGCTGGGAGTGTGCTAACGAAGGGATCTAGTTACAAGAATTATTTCTTGCATTGGCTATAATGCAATTCGTGATATTTCACTGACATTTTGGTTTTTTTTTTTTTAACTGTAGCTTTTATTTTTAACTTTTTTTTTTTTTAAACTTCTCCAGCTTTATGGTTCCATAATGTAATATCTGAAGAGTTTGGAGTGGGAGTGAATGTCTTTTGGAAGCATCTTCCATCTGAATGCTATGATAAAACGGATACCTATGGAAACAAAGATCCTACAGCAGCATCAAGAGCTGCACAAATTTTGGACAGAGCCTTAAAAACCCTGGCTGAATTACCAGAGGAATACAGGGACTTCTATGCACGGCGAATGGTCTTGCACATTCAAGACAAAGCCTATAGCAAAAACTTTGAATAAATATTGAAGTGAATGCAGTGAGCATAAACTTTTAAATACAGTTCAACTCAAATATTGGAGACGTATAACAAGATGTAAATTATTTTTTAAAGATTTATCCTTTGTTAAAATAGGAAAGATAAATCAATCTCAGATTTACAGATTAAATAAGTATGAAGGCATGTTTGTGTGGTTTCTACTTAATACAGATTGTTATGGTTGAAAAAGTGCTGCGGTGGGACAGCTCTTTAGCTTTCAGGTGCAAATAACTAAAAATCCAACTTAAAATGACCTAAACAATAAGAAAATGTATTGAATCATTATACATGAAGTCTACTGATAGAAAGGGCTTCAGTATTTCTATTCCAGTGATTCAGAAGGGTCACCAGGAACCTGTGGGGTTTTTTTTCTCCCGTTTTCAACTGCAGCATTGGCATCATACTAGTGCTGGCTTCCCTCGTGGTCATGGGATGGTTGCCAATAGCAGTTGGGCCTGGGTGCATGTTCATTTACATGAAGTGGAGGAATCAGGGAGGATTCCAGGGGCCCTCTTAACATGCGAAGCTGTCCCAGAATTTGCCGCCGGATGCTTGGGTCTCATTGATCTAAAGTGGCTTAGACCTGTCCATCCCTGAGCCAGTCACTGGTAAAGGATATGGAATAACTCTTAGGTCATTTGGAGCTACTGGAGCTGGAAGTAGAATCCGCTGCCCCTGAGACACATGAGGTAGAACGGATAATTTTTAGAATCAGAGTCCAGATAAGGAAAAAACATTGGCAACGAACAATATGTACTACATTAATCTTTTGAGCTTTTTATAACCTACAGATGCCTAGGCCCCATCTTTGTAGACTCTGATTCAGTATTTTTAGGGTTTGGCATAGGTATCTATTTAATAGAACTCATAGATTGTTTTGATGCATAATTAGGATTGAGAACAACTGGATTAGATGATAGTGATTTGGACTATTAGTTTTGTGATTTGTCCAAAGCAAATGTTTAATCTGATCCTGGTTTTCTTGGTACCCAGTAAAAGTTAGGCCTGCCCTTTTCAGTTTTTGAATGTCAGAAAATATTCAAATCAGTTTTTTAATTTATACCTATGGCTAAACTTTAACCTAATTCAAGTTTTCCCCAGTAGATGTTTTCTGCCTATCCCCCTTTTTTTAAAAACATTTCTTTTAAGAATGAATACATGAGGGATCCCAATAACATTATTGAAGACAATCAGCGATTGTATGTGGATCTATGCCATTCTTTGTTTTGCACCTAGTAATTTTATTGCAGTGTCATTGAAGAAAGCCCATATATATTTACTGAATACAAATGTGCCCATCTAAAGCAATCTGAGTACATCGATTTAGTGCATATTAATTATGGAGAAAACTTTCTTTTAAAAATAATTTATCCACTCATACCGTGTTTGGAGTTGGATTAATTTCAGGTATGAAAGGCAAATTACAACAAATAAGAAAGGAAAAGTATATAAAAAATTGTTCTCAACTTCACAGGCATCTTTGGGAAGAGAGAATGAAGTTACTCAGGTCAACAAAAGAAGTCTGTCAAAAAAATTGTTTTATATCTAATTATTAGATTTTGATTTTTATTATTTCTTAGGTTAAGCAAAGAACTTCTTTAATGATTTTCTTTGGGAAGAAAAAGCAAAACCCCTTTTAGTTGGAATAGTATTTAGAGTCAGCTCTTTAATAAACCCTTTTTTTTTTTAACCAGTAAGAGAATCAGTGCAAAATATGTATGTCCAGGGTCATGTGGAAAACTAGGAAGTAAAGCTGAGATTACAATTTGCCTAACGAATATTCATTTTAATTCAGTTTATTTGGAAAGTAAACTGGACGACTTTAGGCAAGTTAATCTCCTAAGAAGCGTACTTTCCTCATCTTTAAAATAAAACTTGAACTTTATAGGATTGCTACAGAAATAAAGGAGATAGCTGAAGGGCAGGAACATGGTTGATGGCTGGTGCTAGCTTCCATTTAATATTCCTTTGCTGAGAGATTTGAGGTAGTTCCTGTTGCAACATTATAATAGCTGCAATACTGATGAATCCTTTGGGAGGTTTTATTTATTTTTGGGGGGGAGTTAAAATTCCTGGTCATAATTTTTAATGTTAGGGTCTTTTATTTTTTTGGCCACGCTGCGTGGCATGTGGGATCCTAGTTCCTTGACGAGGGCCTGAACCCATGCCCCCCCACCCCCCGCATTGGAATCGCAGTCTTAACCACTGGACTGCCAGGGAAGTCCCCTAGGGTCTTTTATTTTAAATGCAAAATATTTTAATCTTTTTGCCTACCTGGCTGAGACCAAATGAGATGTTTTTCATATATAAAATAGTACACAGCATGTTAGCTGCAACTTGTCAGGAATTCCAAATCTCAGACTTTTGTTGCTGAAAGGGATCTTAGAAATCATCTAGTCAATCCAGATTGCTTAAATGACTGTCTAGGCTGACACAGCTGGGTGATAGAAACTTGAAATTATAGTTGTGGTGCCCAGATTAGTAACTCTCCATTCTTACCCTTAGGTGCAGCTCATCTCAGATACTTAGGGATACATCATATAGTTATTCTCTGGTTACAGTTCAGGGGCACAAAGGAATTTTTTTCCTCTGCCAGCAAAACAACTCAATGTGCTGCTTGCTACACAGACAAGAGATACAAAGTAAGACTAATGAACAGGCAGACAGCAGAGTGTAATATAAAAATGGAATAGTATGCAGTCAAAGAATGAGACAGGTATATGTATGTACTGGCAAGGTATTTTCCCAAGGTAATTAAATGAGAAAAAGGTTTGAAACTATGAGTACAGTACGATGCCATTTGTGTAAAAGGTATGCTGTAAATAAACATTTATTTGTATATGCATAGAATTATCTCTGCAAGGATACATGAGAAACCAGTGATAGTGACTGCCTCTGAGGTTAGACAAGTAGATGGGAAGACTGGAATTTGCAGTTATTATCTGATTTTTTTTTTTTTGCCCTGGTATATATTATTCTTTCAAAATAAATTTTAAAAATACATGCGAAGATTGTAATTATTTTCTTCTCACAAACATTAACAGTATTTGTCTTGGTACATAATTACATCTGAATTCTATTTATTCAGTAATTTCAAACTTGTCACTTCGATGAAATATCAAAACAAGGGAAACAAGGTCAACATGGCTTATTTTCTATCCTTTTGAACAGCAGCTATGTGAACATTTGGAAAGAACCTTAGTAATGAGGCTTTTCGTTTTTTTTTTTTTTTTTGCGGTACGCGGGCCTCTCACTGTTGCGGCCTCTCCCGTTGCAGAGCACAGGCTCCAGACGATGTGGGATCTTCCCGGACCGGGGCGTGAACCCGTGTCCCCTGCATCGGCAGGTGGACTCTCAACCACTACGCCACCAGGGAAGCCCAATGAGGCTTTTCTTACCCATCTAATGTTGCCAACAGACATCAAAGCTTAATCTAAGAAGTTGACCCCCACCAAAAAATGCAGGAAGCAGGAATGCACGTCTGGATGGAGTTGGAACTGTGCTGCTGTGACTCCTTCCCCCAGTGCTAAAAAACAGATATAGTCAGGAGGAACTAACATAGATTGGTAGTCACCCACATATCTCTGGTGTTACCTTACAGTCTTTTTTCAAGCATACAGGCCATGGGTGTTTGGATGTCTTAAATACACCTAAGTTATATTGTATTTTTTCAAGTTCCATTAAATAGGATACTAAAATGACCATCCTAAGCGACTGCCTGTCTCTACCACTAAGAGCTGCTCGGCCTCTCTGCCTTTGTAAAGAGCAACCTGAATTCACAGATGTCTATCTACATGAATATCTTATCCTCTAAAGCATGTTTCTCTTAAAAGCCCTTAAATGAAGTGTAACAGAATAGCTCTTTTAAGAATAATACCTTTTTGTTTCATATTTTTCCTCTTAAGCCGTAGTCTATTACACATTTCCATCCTCACATGCTGGAACTGTTTTGTCTGTACTGTATCCTCAGTGCCTAGACCTTCTTTGCCCTTGGTGGGGCTTAGATATTGCATGAATGAAATGAAAAACAGATCACACCATATTCTAACCAAGTCTCTTGATGACAGCTAAAGGAATACAGATGACTAGTGTAGAAAAGGAAGAACTTACTTATTTTTGAGAGATTTTGTTGTCTAGGAAATCCAACAGAAGGAAATGATGCTATTTTCTGTGGAGCAATTTAAAGGAAAAGAAGAGATGTATTTTTATAGGAAAGGTTCAAAGTTGCCTGTATGAAAAAACATGGAGGTTAATGAAAACACACACAAACCCAAAGTGGCAAAGTGGAGAGAAATCGCTTCCTTCCAAATAACGATCTAAAGTTTTAACAAATCTAGTAACAAACAGCACATCCAAACAGACTTCTGTGGATTAAATTTAATACAACTGTACATTCATGCTGTGGCGGTAACAACTTTCACATTATTTGTTTGACTACTTTTCTCAGTTGACTCTTTCATGACACAAACACAAAGGCACAATCCAAAGGATACACTAACATTTATAATAGTTTTAAACAAATGTGGAGAAAGAACAGATTTTAAGTATTAAACAGATATTTGAATATGGATCAACTTGAATACATTTTCATTAAAGAAAATATTTTCAGTTCTCAACACTGTCTCATTTTGATGCAATGGCAATTCCAGGTGTCCCAGACAGTTATTCTTAATATCCATTCAACATATAACAATTACAATTAAGCATTTACATGACTGGATAGCTACAAGGACCATATTTTAAATACCTCAGATTTTTAAATGAATCTTTCTGCTAAAAGTCATACGTTTTCCATTTTAGTTAATCCTGTAGAAATAAATGCCTTTCCTTCCCCCCCTCATTAAAGTACTCAGTAACTTAGCTATGTTACATTGGATACACATAAATTTAACCAAGGATTATTAAACGTATTGAAAGAAGCCATCCAATCAATAATGGTGCTTTAAGACAAGGTAATAAGTCAAATGTTAGAATTAGGCTGACTTGTTTCCTTGTTGGGAATTTTGGGTCTCAAAAGAAACAGCAGGTATTTAAAAGAAACCAAAGCAATATAAAACTACTGTACTTCATCCTTAAGGAAAAAAACATTGAAAGATACTATTCTGAAGTTCATACAATTTAAGCATCTGGTAAGTAAAAATCCTTTCTTAGAAGTTTCTGAATATTTGGAATATATTTATAGAGTCATTAAAATATAATTCTG